GACGTCACGATGACGTCATCGGTAGATTTTTGGTGATTTTTTAAATATTGACAATTTTATTCTGCTTACAAGATTTAACACTTTCATTCGTCTGATTGGCTTCAAACTTGGTACAGACTAAAATTACAATAGAATAATATGCACTGCCAAGTGACATCATGATTACGTCATCACAGGGCATGTGACGTCATCTTAAATGTGCAAACTTTAAGACCCTATATCTACAGAACTGTAAGTCCGATAGGGTTGAGGGTAGGTCGGTATGTAGGTAGGCCGGGATGTGTTATATGTAAACATTGAGGTGATACCATCATGACGTCATCGTGTAAGTTTATATCGATTTTGTGACATTTTGGACCTTTAACCCATATCTCACGAACGCAATATGCCAAATTCAAAATTCTTTGTGTATGTTTGTTAGGTAACAGGTATATTCACAAAATTGTGGAAATTGTGTGACGTCATTATGACATCATCAACAATGCGATTTTTTTAAACACATGTAAGGGAATGTCCGATCGTCATGAAACTTAGTGGGTGGGTAGATAATAGTACTAGTACACAAAATCTGAAATGACGTCACCATGACGTCATCTGTAGATTTTTCCCGATTTTTAAAATATTTACAATTATATTCTGCTTAAAAAATTTAACACTTAAATTCATCTGACTGGCTTTAAACTTGGTACAGTCTAAAACCACAATAAAATAATGAGCACAGCCAGGTGACATCATGATTACGTCATCACCTAAAATCAACAGCGAGAGATCTAATTTTGTTTTTTTTTACGGGCATTGATAGAATAATTCATGGTCTTAATTTATGATATAACGTGCAAAATCACGTGACCCTTCTTTCCTGTTGAACCCGAAATTGCCTTGTTATTTGCAATTGGTAAAAGATGTGAACTTGCTTTCAACGATGTCAAAAATCTGACCAGTAACGTCATGCATTATTCGAGCACACTCTGGCGGCAAGTGATCACGGGTCTTGTGATGTGGTCTTAAAGGTGCATATTTAAAAAAATAAAAAATAAAGAGCCATAGGTTCGATTCGATTGAAACGTGAAAAAAGTAAGACTGCTGCAAACTGCTTACTGACTGGGTGGACCTGAAATATATAAATCTAAAAATTAATGTGGCCTGACGTTGCGAACTTAGCAAGTTCTTCTTCAGAGGCTAAAACAGAAACGTTACTGGTTGATTGAAACGTAGTACATGCATAGCCACGGACGTGTTATTGATAAAAAAGCATAATGCGGAAAAGCCCTATGTTCTGTTGCAAACAGACATACATGTAGATCTCTCGTTAGCTGTTTCGGTGTACACACCAAAACAGCTCTTGTTTTTCGTTAAGATTTTTTTTTTTTTTTTAGCTGTTTCGGTCTACACACTGAAACAGCCCTTATTTTCGTTAACTTTTTTTTTTGGCTTTTTGGTAGGTAAGTATGGATAACAGCATTCAAAATCTGAAGTGACGTCATCATGACGTCATCATCTGATTTTTTATGAATTTTTCAAGTTTTAATATTTTCTTCAAATTTTGCAAAAATTATATACGATACGGTCCGATCGACTTCAAACCTGGCACACACTTATACAACCGTCTGAAGATGAATGCCGAATCATGACGTCATCATGGGTGATGGTTTAAGTATGTGCCAAGTCTGAAGTCGATCACATTAAGAAAGTGTCAAAGTGTATGGTTTGACGAAAGCGTGTACAAAACACATGGGGAAAAATGCATCTTTAATGCGTAACCTGACACCTGATGACATCACGATGACAAATTTCTTCTAGGACCATCTGTGGGTGGTGGTCCAAGTATGTGCCAGGTCAGGTGACGTCATCAATCTTTTCCCCTTCAACTTTTTCTTAGCATAAAGCTAATTATACATATTAATCATAAAGTGAATGCAGCAAACTTGGCCACACACATCAACTGATTATTCATTTTAAATATCTTTGAACCTGCTGCTAGAGGGCGCTCTAACATGTAATGACGTCACCAGTAATTTCTGTAAAGTACAACCTAGCCATAACTGACATCATTAAGAGCAAGTTCACATCTTTTTCAATTTTTAAATTATAATGCACTTCCGGTGTGGACCGGAAGAAAGGGTCACGTGATTTGGCTCACTTGAGATAAAATGAAGATCCCGTATTATTCAATCAATTCCCGCAAAGATCAAGCTCAGGTCTCTCACGGTTGATTTTATATTGATTTTCAAAGATTACATCTAGAAATCTTCAATATGACGTCCAGTGACCCATGAGTACGTCACCATGACGTCACTCTTCTGGGCACATCTATGCTATAAGGACTATGCCTTTGGTGACTTTGAATGATGTATGACAAAGTTGAATGGCAAAAGTGCAGGCGGTAAAAGACGTGTACAATGTCTATGGGATTTTGTGGCGACAAAAAGAAGAAGTAGAAGAAAGAAAAAAAATCAGAGCAAAAAGAAAGGCTTTTCCCCAACTATGCGGAAAAGCCAAAAATCTTAACGAAAACAAGAGCTGCTTCAGTGTGTACACCAAACAGCTAATTATAATGGAAGAAGAACTTCATGTCATTGAAAAAAAATGCCGTCATCGATGCCGAAACCTCAATACTGGTTACTGGTAAAGCTGTCCTTCAAGTCGTTCGAAAACTTCCCCAATCCATGTATTTATCTCAATTTCTAGGAATCTACTCAAGTTGTTATTTCACGAGTAGTTGAACACTTATATCATCTAAGTATATTCCGAATTTCAGCTTAATCTGTTGTTGCAAATGCTAGTGTACATGTGTAATCTCCAAGGAAAATTTGGACAAGGATTTTTTGTTGTCCAAAACAACATGTGGTTTTCAGCAAAGACCCTGAGCGCCGTAGGCACTATGGTTGACCGATTTTGGCCCAGCAACACAGTGACGAAGCGCATATTACATGTATATTCATTAGCGTCACTCGGCGTGACTTGGCATGGGTCTTGGTGTGGGTCTCAGTATCGACCAATGAAAGCCGGCAAAAAGGGTGATATGTATTATTTAATAACTTGTGAAGGAGGCTTTTATGCACATTTTTACTGCACACCATAATGGATAGAAACCTTATTAATATTTGTGAGGCTTAAAAAGATTGACAGATATTGCAAACACCAGTGGTACAACTTGCACGTAGACTGACCTATTTTTCCAATTTCAGCAAAAAGTAATGAACATATCACAACAATTTTAGCACATACTTGGATCATTATAAGAGAAATAAGCCCAGAAAGTTGCAAGAAAATACAGTTTCCCAAACGGGAGAAATTAATTTTCAAAGATTTCACCCACCTGTGTGAACATGTCTGTGTGCATGTTGTTTCATTCAAAATAAAGTGTAACGTAACCTTTGGAAATCGCCCTTCGCAACCACAAGACTGTATATGTGACCTGCTCCCACAAAACCCAGACAAAATTGACAATTTTTATTTGTTTTTAGGAATAGATTTTTCAAATTACTGAGGTTTTCAGCTTCAAAATGATATATGATATATGATATGTGATAGTCCTGTAATTGGCGTTTTTTTCTGCTGTTGGATGTGGATAATAAATAAATAAATAAATAGGTACTGTGACCCTATCACCTCTGGAAGAAGGATTAAGGGATAAAAGCCTGACAACCCAATTATGAGATACACGTATTGAAAGGTTTCAAGAGCCTTAAAATGGACAGTTCCTACCCCAAATGACTTCACATGCTTCACAAACAACTTGTGCAACTTTGTCTGTGTTTCATGGGAGCAGGTCTCATACCGGTATGTGTTTTAAAAAATGGCACTTTAATGACGTCATTATGACGTCACACATTTTCCACATTTTTGTGTAAATATCTATGACCTAGCAAACCTATAAAAAAAAGAAGACTTTTTAATTCATCTTGTGACTTGTAGGTCTCTAGATATAGGACCTTAAAATTAACCTCATTCCCATGGGTACGAGATCTTGCTGCACCATGTTGTTTCCCATCATGCCTTGCGTGATCTCAACCCCTGGATTTGTCTTATTTAAATGTGTCAAAATATGGCACATTATAATTAGAGCTGCAGTCTATCTGTTTAACGTGCGACGCCATCTTTAAAATGTTGAGAGTTGTGTTTTTGAAGAATCAGTCCTTTCAAACATAAGGTTTGGACGTCGCGTTATTTAACAAGGATTTGTATTAAATGTACGTACCTCTTTCTTCCCTTTACAACCGAAGATACAGGTTTTTTAAGCGAAAAACGAGGCTGCCATAATCCATATGCCATAGGCATTGCGCACTTTTGATAAACAAAACGTTTGTACGTGACGTGACGTGCAAAGCATGTGAGCGCATTATGGGCACACCCGGGGTGCAATTTCGCTCTGATTAGCCAGTCAGCATCATTTACGGGTTCATCATGGCCGAGGGTTAGTGTAAGGAACGCGCACGCGCCCATGGAGTCGAGGCTGCCTTAAAATATACACTTTTAAGACGACGTCCCATGACCTGTAATGACGTCATCATAGTATCTATCTTCACAGACCATCTGCTATGCTTTTGCCTATGTTAAGTTTCAAAGTTATATGACAACGTTTTATGACAACGTTTATGGAAGAAGAAACAATTGTTTTTAAAAATCAGGCCAAATCAAAGGCTTTTCCGCAGCTATGCCGAAAAGCCATAAAATGAGAACAAATAAAATAAATAAATAAATTAAAAACTGGTAAGCTGTTCTCCAATGATTGGGAATTTCATTTTTTTATTTTTGCAAATGTTTTCTACTGCTTTCAATATTAAAATTCAGTTCATAATAGCCGATTATATCCTTGACTTATATACTAGGTTATTATGAAGGACTACATTGTGTGCCATGTAGATAAGGACACAATAAAAAAATTTTTTTTCAATATGCTCATGTTTTGACACTACTGTGAGAGAAAAAAAGTGTTGTTAGGGATTATCATGCATCATGATTTGCATTCTGATGGTACTATAAATGTATTTGTTCATTTGATTAACGGATCCATGTTGTGGCTTTCAGGGGATAAGGTCATGATTGGTGAGAGTCCTGTCGCCCCTGGTGTACCGGTCATATACAGGTCACAGGAGGAAAGATCGGCAAACCCAGACAGATTGAACCTTGATAGGTAGGTCAGTGTTGTCAAGTACACCACAAATCCTTTCACAGGTTCCGTCACAACTCTTTTCATAAGTCAAGTCACAAGAAACAGGATGAACAATGACAAAGGAATGCCTTTGTAATAGTTTATTTGAATAGCTAGTGACTTGACAGGTGACTGCAGGAGTTGTATTGCTGAGACTGACACAGTTTCAGTGAAAAAAAACACATATTGAACTATGACTAAGCAGGACATGAAGTAAAATTTTTAAAACCAAACAAGTTAATATTTCTAGAGAGATTGGATTTAAACTTGAAAGTTATGTTGTATGTGTTTGTAATATATCAAAGGCAACCATTTTGAAAACAGGAGGAGGCTTACAGTGTGCCCAATTCTAGAAGGAGAGGAGCATCTCAGGTTACTCAACTTTCAGCACAACAGTATCCGCAAAATAGAGCACCTCACCAGTTTGAGGAGACTGATATTCCTGGACCTGTATGACAACCAGCTGGAGGATATAACTGGACTAGGTGCTCTAAAATCACTTAGAGTACTAATGCTGGGTAAAAACAGGTAATTGTTTAAAAGGTATTCTGCAATCATGGGTGCAATCTATAAACTATTATAAATCCCTAAGTTTAAGTTTGTGTATTTTTGATTTTGGTTAGTGAGGGGTTTAATTTTTGGCACAATATTTCTCGTTCAAGTCGGGTGATTTATCATTTCCAAATATTGATATGCCAGTAACAATTCCAGAAAGACATTTTTCATCGTGATTTTCTGTAAAAGTAAATGAACAAAAATAATTGCAAATTCTAGAAGTTTTACAAGTTCAAAGTAAACTTTTGCGTTTAAGGGTCCTGAAAGTACGTCACCAGGGGTGATTTTCAGGCTCTATTGCATGAAAAGGGCAAATATTTCTGGGTCCAGTAACTATCTTACCAACTAATATCAGTTTATTGGTAAAAGCTTTTTCTAGCCCAAATGAGTACATTCTCTTGAAGGTGATCCTTTAAGGTCTTGAATATGACTTTACTCGTATGAGATAAATTGTCTTGTCCCTATGGACTCTGCGCATGAACAGAGAGAAGTTTCAAGGGCCCCAGTGGAAGGGACACATCGTGTGCTCATATTGGTTCGTGCAGGTTTAGCGTGAAGTATGTGGGGTGCCGTGGTCTCGTGGTCTGGAGTAATGATGTGCATCGGGTCTGGTTGACCAGGCCAAACTGACCCGAAACATTACAGATATACACTGAATCTCAACTGAAACCGATCTTAACTCCCTCAAACCGACCTGACCCGAACTGACAAAAAATAAGGTAAAACCGACCCAATTCGACCCGACCTGAAAAAAAACCCTGAAAAAACCTAAATACCTGGCTTGGACAAAGTGATCACTTTTTTGTGCCTGCCCTTACCCACGTGGCATGAAGTCTTTTGCAAAACCATCATCTCTCACTCAGTCATACTCAGTGGGTTGATCGAGAGTAACCCTGCTTATTGAACAAACGCATGGTCATCACGCGGTATCATGAAATCTGTTACAATCTATCTATTTCACTGTCAGTCCTGATCCGACTGGAGAAATTCATACCGTGGGAACTTGATAGTGTGCTCGGTGGCCACACCACACAATGGGCTGCGGTCACAGTGGCTGTCAATAATATTGCATCACCTGAATTTCTCAACTGTTTCAGTTTATTTTGGTTTATTTCTATTTTTTCAAAAGATGGCTAAACCGACCCGACCCGACCCGACCCGACCCGAAAATGTAAATGCAAAACCAAAACCGACCCGACCCGACTGAAAAGATGGACAAACCGTCCCGACCCAACACGAAGTCGGTTTCGGGTCGGGTTGGTTTCGGTTTCAGGTCGGGTTTGCACATCATTAGTCTGGAGCATTGAATTTTAATATGGTCTGCGGGTAATTCTGCAGGTTGTGGGTTCGAGTCCATCCTGCGGCTATGGTGCGTGTGTCCTTGGGCAAGGCACTTTGTCACTCATTGCGTCATTGTTTTTTAAACAAACGAGCCCTTGACAACCCGTCCTGGCACGGGCCAGAACGCTTCATTTAAATAACAAAAGGTGTGAATATGCCCGATCTTCTGCAGACCCGCCGGGCCAATACGTACGTGTTCGATCCGACGGTTTCGATTGTAATAATAGAGAGGCACCAAGTACAAGTAACCACGGAGAAATAACTCCATGGTACAACAGAGGCGAAACGAGCAAATTGTGGCTGACAACGGTGACGAGAGTTGGAACCAGACTGATAGTCTACTACCGCATGTATTTTTGTACGCGGATGGCATTTTGTGTGGAGCGGGATCAGCCGTTGTCAGACTTGTTTGACACGTGGTAATGTGCACGTATTATCCCTGTTGCTGTGTTGTGCAGTGTGGAGCGGGATCTGAACTATACTTTGACCGTGCCAAACGCGTAGCGAGCAATGGGTTGTGTGGCATTGTCTGGCCGCATCGCGGTGTTTTCTTCGCGCGTCCGGACAGAATAAAGGTCCAGGGAATAAGATCGCAACTTTGTTGTTATGATTGGTTAAACCCTGACTTAAAAATCAACTTATTGTTAATTAAATGAGGATTCCTTTGACATCAAACATTCTGTTATGTATTGAAAATTTGCTTGGCCTAATATATATAATATACATGTGTAAACATTTCCTTGTCGATTTCTGAGTAGGTACTCAAGAAGCCATCATTTACTTGACGAGACGGGGAGACCATCACAAGTTACCACGTCATGGCAATGATATGAAATGTTGTTCAAAAATATTTAGACTTCATCAAGAGACCCTTCGGTATTCATTAGAATTTAATTATTTGTAATTAATGTGGAGTAATAAAGCATTTGAAGAATTAATGCCCCACACCCCAAAATAGTAATTATATCCTACCGAAGTTCCATATGCATTGTCATTTTCATAAATTTAATTTGACTGTGCGAGGTATTAGAGAGTTCATTTCCGCAATCTAGAATGTAAGAAAAATGATGAGTGTAATCATGTTCTTTGCTCTATCGTGTAATGAATATGTAAGAAATATTGAAAACTAAACAACGTAGTATCTTTAGAAAATACAGCATAAAGTTAGTCTCTATACTTTTAAAAGTATATATTGTGTTCTTTATGAAATAATATGGTGTCATTCACTTCTGAATGTGACATCAAAATCAACGAATAATAAAGTTTGTTTTACCGCGGCCGAGCAATTTTTTTTAATGGGAGCTAAAAAATAATCAAAGAATAAATACGAATTTTCAGAGGGTTGAAAATGTCTATGCACAAGAAAACCACTTGGTCGTGTAGGCCTATTTCACAGTTTTAGGAGTACACCAATATCTAGTACAGACAAAAGAGCACGAGTAGATGAACTTAAATCACCCAATATCATTATGGAAGACATTTTGGTAGAAACTGACTCATGAATATTTACGAGGGCCTTCACTGGTTTCCTTGACAATTATGTTGCTATGATGGAAGAGTTTGAGAAATCCGCATGAATTTCAAACGTGATGAGTTTTGGGCGGTCCTAGCTGTGCCGCTTTTATGACCTATCAGCCATGTCGACTGAAATAGTTTTGCTCGGATGTTGGCATCGGGTCTTCTCATTGGTGGTAGAATTTCGTAGCCATGATGATATACATGTTTGTCTTGTTTCCCACGCTCTGTTTGGTAATGAGCCAACCCTTTCCCACAAAGGCCAGGATAGATTGGAGTTGTCAATGGCTGTTTACCGTGCAGGCGTATGAGTGGGGCTGGGGCAACCTCGTCCCCAGGGTGTCGAACAGTACGCGCCCATCACTACCTGCTCTCTCACCCTGGTATTTGATCATTTGCATGTGCAAGATTTTTGAACACGTATGCACATGAGGAATAGTCTGGTGCCTGGATATGCGTTACATTAGCGTTTGTTTTTGTATGCGGTGTCTGGGGTGAAAACAGAGTCAATTCATCGCAGCGCAAGCACGGCGTGAGTTACAAAAACACAATTTTTTTTTACATTAAACTGTTACGATTTTATCGAGACAACATGCAGTATCATATTTCATATTAATATGACCATATTGGAAAGGAAATTAGTATTTTCGAGGAGGCATGGACAAATGATCGCGAAAAACACGTACTGCACGTTGTGAATAATAACACCAAGTACACGATATAAATCCATTACTAGCCAATTGCGGTATCGAATCAGGATACAGGAAGAAAGTTTCCTATCCAGGGTTTATTATTGGAAACCAGGTTGGAAATAAAGTAAGCACTGGGGACGAGGTTGGGGCTGGGGAGTTTATTATGGCAGGCAGCTGTGCCTACGTACCGGTGCGGGCATGGCCCGGCCGGGGAATAAAATTTGCAACCAGTGCGATGTTCATTTTTAGAAAATATTTGCCCTGAACTTAGTTCATTACATTTTGCATTTGATGAGGTTGTTCACATGCCTAATTTTTGAAATCGTTTTATTGTTATACAATCATAAATATTGATGTTTTATATTTAATAAAAAAAACATGCGTTTTTATATAAATTAGTCAGAGTGACCATGCATGGTGACGTGACTATAATATTATGCCCCATTATTTTATCATTCTATCTAACCGCACTCTTCTACTCAAAATCAGTCCGTATTTAATCCAAAAAGTTTACTATCCAGTTATAAAACACTTTAGGTTAATATGATTTCAAACGATTCTGTTAATACTAATAATCCTGCAAAGCGATGGAGCATGTGGTCTAGATCATAGATAGAGTCAACGTCGGATCCTCACTAGTCAAATATCGAACTGTTATGACCATCGGGATTCGAATTACATGTGCAACTTGGAGAAGGAAATTCCATTTGTCCAAGGTGTTGAAGCTGTACCACTACTTGCAGTAGTACGACGCAGCAAAATGTCCCCTTTTGTCACTAACTTGGTGAAATGTGCATGAAGTCTGTGCGTCAGGTCCTTCTGCGTCTTGCATGTGCGGTCGGAAAACTAGAATGCATACCGTTTTGGATGTGTCGTCGACGCTTCGTGTTACCAGGATCACAGCCACTTGAATTAGTCTGCAATTGTATTTGGGAGCTGACTGTTTGCGTTGCGTGCTGGAGGGAAATTCCTGCCAGCAAAACGGCTGTTTCATGTATTCTTTTCTTAAAACATTTTACTACTTGGCCTTTTATGTACGTCAAATAAATAAGAATTGAATCGCATACTTTTAGACCCTCACAATTCTTTCCAAGTGTTAAGCAGTGATTTACAACCCGGAATGTTGCCCATCTCAATTTGTGTTCATTCAAGTTTTCATATGGTAATTCTTATAGAAGCATAAAACTTCTCAAATCTTCAGAATTTCGTGGCAAACTTCCTTCCTTCCTTCCATGGAGTGCAGTCCTCAAAAGATGAGTATAATCGCACTGTGGTGTGTGTGTGAATGCGTGCAGGTGCAGTATGTACAGATGTGCAGAGTAAAAAAGTGATGTATGTGGTTTACATCACTGATTGATCCCTTAGCGCAGACTTGAAGGCGTCAAGGGATGGAGATGTTGCAGGGTCCTTCTTAAGTGTGTTCCAGTCACGCCGTGTGCGAGGAAA